CTACCAGTTTTGCACAGCAAAGTCGGGAACCTCTATGGTCAACTCACCATCTTTTTTCCAAATGACTGGTGGTTGCCAGAGGGTCATTGACCAGTTTCTAGGCCTGTAAGTAAATAAATGGATAGAGAAAATGTTATAGGTTGCTTTCAATGCAAAATAGGTAGAAAGGGGTAAAAAAAAAAAGTGCAGCATCACTTAAAAAGTAACACAATTAGCTGTTCGGCTAAAATGCTGCTACGTGGCTAAAAGTCTTGATAAAAACTTTGTCTAAATAAATAGCATGTGATGTCTGAAAACAAGTAGGACATCTTCTCCTTACATAAAGTACAAACATCTTTTTAAAAAAAGTATCTTACATTGGTTTGCATTGCCAGCTGAGGAGGTGTCCTAGAATATGTGCTTTGCAAGCATAACATCATGTAATATGTTGTACCTTAGAAGCAGAAAATTGCTAACGACCTTCCAAAAGTATCTGTGTACTTATTGTCCTTCAGCCTGTAGCTGCTTATGTCAAGGCTTTACAGAGCAATTTCATTATAATCAATTGACGCAAAGGCGAGTGTAACTCCTGCTGTTACGTCATGTCGAGTTATCAGTCGAGATTGCTCACGTAAGAGGTGGCTTTGTGTCTTATGTACACAAAGTGCAACATCATCCTCTAGTCTGCGCTGATCTGTTTTTGTCTGTCCACTTTAAATTCTGCACAAAGCACACAATATATTCAGTAAAGGCTTATCAGCATTACCCCGGCAGGGTATTAGGTGTGTGTAGTAAACAGACCTAGTGATTATGACTATGTGCTCTTTGATGGGTGTGTAGTGGCGCCAAAATGTGAGGTGGGCTTTTGTGGCTCTGTGAGAGCCAGTATTTCCTCAGGTAGCTGTAGGATAATTTGTGGTATATCATAATAGGGGGGTTGTTTTATATTGTAGAAGGGCTGAATTCTCTTGACTTCATTGTACAAAACTATAATTTGATGAGTAGTTTGGGATCCATCTACGGAGTAATAGAGGAAATACTTTTGTGCCCTGTATATGTTTATGTGTGTTCCTGTTTAGACATCTTTGTGGGGACAAAAAATGTGAATGTTATTATACTTGTGGGGACCACAAGTGTGGTTTTAGTGTCAGGGTTACAATTAGGTTATGGTTAGGTTTAGGCTAAGGTAGGCAAGGTAAGGTAAGCAGCTAAGAAAAGCATTATGTCAATTAGATGTCCTCACTAAGATATCAAAACGAGAATGTGTGTGTGTGTGTGTGTGTGTGTGTGTGTGTGGGTGTGTGTGTGTGTGTGTGTGTGTGTGTGTGTGTGTGTGTGTCTTACAGGAATTTGCTTTGTATTAGTGCCTTGTCATTCTTATCAAAGGCTCTTGACCCTGGTTGCTGCCTGCTGAGCATCATGGGAGATTAAAGTTAGGCACAAAATTTCTCTTTGCTAAAAAGAAAAAAATCCATTGCAAGTTCAAAGTTTTTCACAAAAATCTATTGAGCAGAAATGCCTGTTAGGACAACTTTGTTTTTACCAAATGATATTTAAGTCAAGGCCTAATGAATTTATTCATAAGCTAATTAACGAGTGAAACAAAACACAGTGTGTTAACTAGAAAAGGAAACACTTTTAAATTAAAAACACACGTTCAAGTAAAACAAAATGATTAAAATTCTTAAAAACTTTCATGTTTACAGTGGAAAAAAAATAAAGGAGTTCAGGTGCTGGTTGAATTTGAAGCTCAGAAATGCTTGAACTGTTTAAAAAAGTCTGAACAGTGTTGATATATCTGTAGGTGTCAGTTGTACTTCAGGCGGCAGACATCGCTGAAATGTTAGCTGAATATGAATCCAGCTCTAAAACTTGACTTTTAAAAGTTTAGCTTCAGTGTGTGAGCCAGTGCCGGCAGGTGAAATGTCAGTTTATGTGTGAAGAATAAAGAAATTCCAGTGAGTGATGACAGTAGAGTAACTGTCATTCAAAGAGGATTAAAGCAGCAGAGATGTCAGGTGAGCTATGAATAAAAAAAAGAAAAGAATTTTGAAGTGTGTTCACTGTAAGTGTTGAAATATCAGTCCGTTGTGTATCTAAAACGTGACAGCACTTGAATGAATCTAAGAGTAAGTTCGGTGTGAAAGGAACTTGACGGAATCACTGAGCTGGTTTTATAGTCCTGCAAATGCGTAAATGATTCCACTATTCCATGTTTTTAACATGTTCCTGTGCTCTTCCCCAAGACCCCGATCCTTGTGAGCTGGAACAGAGCAGGGAGAACAGCAAAGGAAATTCAAAGGTCAAAAAACACAGTGTCAGTATTGCCCGTCTGCCTGGCAAAGGAGCTCCGTGCAGGCAGACGGGCAGTTACTGGACTGGAGTGGACAGCGAGCAAAACCAGCTTTAAGAAGCATTTACGGTTCCCCAAATGTGTCCACGTCCACTCTTTTATGGCTCTTGATCTGTATGACATCAGGTTACTTTTGCATCTGAAGCTCAGATGCATTTCAGCAGGATCTGCTCGTACTCAAAAGTCTGTCCACATTAAAACATCACATATCTCTTCGTTCACTAATTATTGTTGTTTTGTATACGTTAGTCTTGTTTTCATCTTAGGTTCTTTTCCTTCATGTGTCCTTTGTAATTGTGTGTAGTGTTAGAGTTCATCCCGCGGTGACAGAACTTTAGTTTTCTCATTTTGGGGTTTCACTTCATGCTTTTGTTTCACTGGTTTGTGATTTCCTTCCCCGCCCTCATTACCTTCTCCTGTTGCTGAGCACTTTCACCTGTGTCTTGTTAACCAACTGTTTCTCGTTCCTAATCGGTTCCCTTGTGGATACCCAGCCCCGTTTTCCCTGCTGTCTTTGTCTGTTGTGGTTTCTATTGTATGTCAAATCTCTCTCATGTTCCTCACAATTGCTTTGGCCTCCTGTTTGGATTTCTTTTTAAATTCTGTCAGTTCATTAAATGTCAGATCGTCTTTAGTCCTTCTGGTTCTGCTGCGCCAGAAAAAGACAATACAGATGCTAACTCAGCTTATTAATGTCTACCCTAAAAGTCAGTGTTTATACTGACTCGTTTTATATTTTAGGAGTAAAAACGACCCACCACTGAAGAAACAACACACCGGTGTTGGCAGCATTGCTCCCTGAGGGATAATAGAAAAATAATAAGACCTGTACCTTTTTTATGTTTTTACTGGAGGGAACAAATGCAAATGTTCTAAAGATTATAGGTCTATTTTTCTGTGCCTGTAGCTTAACTTTACATTTTTGTTTGAATTTGTAGAATAGCCAGATGAATTTTTAGTGCGCTGTAGCTGAACTATCAAATGCTCAAAGCATCTGACAGGTAAGTGACATTTCAAAAATGAGTTGAAATCCCCTCAAGCACCAGTTTATTGCTGTCAATAAAGGCCTAAAATGCCAAAGAATTATTTAAATATAATTAAAGCACTGAGAGAGGATTGTTTAATCATATCTATTTGCAGCCTGGCTATCAAAGTTTACATCATTAGCTAAATGTATGGAACAAAGATTCAGAAACTTCAAACTGGAAATGAGTTTGTGTTGTAACTCAAGCCCCAGATTAACAGAGTGGTTCCTTACATGTGACCATATGTACATCCTGTCAAATTATAACGAAAAGCAACCAAACATAGGCTAAAGTGACACTGACTGGTTGTGTTTGGTGGAGAAATTTTGGAATATGTGGGAATATTTTTGAGGTGAAATCCCATTAGAAATCCAAAGTTATCGACTGGTTGTAGCTATTCCTGCCTGTGTTATAGGAGAACACAATCGTAACACGAATGCTCCTAATGAAACGTTTCTTTTGAAACCCCAAAAGCTGTTAGCTTTATTTTAGAGGCAAACCTCACAAACCAAATGTTACAGACTGAATGAGACAAACAATTTCACTCGAATCCTTCACACCCAGGAAGTGTGAAAATCCTGTGACGGAAGAATTTTTAATGCAGGTTGTACTTTGTGCTTTAAACTATTTAATTCTGATCTTGATTGAGAGGAGTGAGTTCTTTCCTTTATGTGTCTTTTATTCTGGTTTTCACTTTAATATGAAAAATAGTAAAATGTCAACAACAAAAAATATACTGTTCCTTTATTTAGCTAAGCTGATGTCCTCATGGGAGTTTTAAAAGACTCCACTTTAATGTGAGACTAAAAGTAATGTAAGCAACTGATGACCACTCAGCGTGGTCTGAAGAACATTCACTCCAAGGTCAAGCCAAAGATGTAATGAATAATTATTGTGGAAAACAGAATGAAAAGCCTAAAGCTGTTTTGTTTTTCTCCCTCCAATAATGCTCTAGTCAAGTTTTGGTTCATTCTTTTTAGCTTTTTAGATTAAAATGCAGTATAATTAATCAACAAATTGTACCCCAGCAGAAATTATTCAGCACCACATGGCATGATGAATATTTAAGGCCCTGATAAGATTTCTTAATTAAGAAAATACTTGGTGAGAAACAAATACAACAGCTGCCCACACTGAAGAATATTTCTCAAATGTCTTTGAGTAAAATTCCCCAGGATGATCTACCTGTGGTTGGACAAATTGCTTTCACGGTTTGATGCTTGAGCTTCAGATTAAGTGTCTGATTTAAATTCAGGAAGCATTAACGGCGACACTGTATCACTGGAAATAGTTGGTGCCATAATAACAGGTAATCTGAGTTAACTGACAAAGAACGTTTAAAGTTAAAAGTTTGAGTTCAGGCTGAATTTATTTGAACTGTTATGACAAGACACTTTCCCCCCCTCTGACTGCCGTAGTGCAGGCGCTGCACCTCACGCCACAAATAATAAACCTGGCAATAAGGGCTTATTTTCTTATCCAGTCACCTTAAGATCTGCACTGCACTCCATGCAGTTTCTTTTTGTTTTCTGCTTTGTGGCCGTCACTATCGCTTCCTTTTTCACCTATCTGGTTTAAAAAAAAACTCCACTTACTGTTGTTTGTTACTATAGAAATGTTCACATAAAGCCAGGAATGCACTCTGACATTAAGTATCACAATTTTATTACAAAAATTAAATTCTTCATCTCTCAGTTTTGCCATGCTTGGAGCATATAACAATACAGTAAAAAACCCAGACCCGGAGAAGATAGTAAAGCAGATTTCAACAATGCTTTCACAGCACTCTGTCATTCATGCTGTTACTATACAGTTACTGTAACATTCCTAATACAGAGTAGTACAAACACCTGCCAAAACACGTCATGTCAGATAACAAACTGTAATTAAATCACGTTTACCAGAAGAACAAGAAACTCAACCCAGCTCAGAGGGGAAAAGAAAAAGAAAAAACAGAAACCAGTAAACATTGAATTTGCAACTGAAAACATACCGAATGTGCTGAATATTTGTACCAGCCCAAGGCACCCAGGCTTCTAGCAATGTTGGCAAGTTAACGACATTCTTACAGAAACACTTGAAGCGAACGATGATTACAAATCGACTTGTACCACAGTTTGACTTTGCAGTGTCCTTCAACGTACCCTCCTCTCCTGGCATTCCTCTTCATCAGTCACAGTGCAAGTTCCGGAGGGGCGGGGCAAAGTGGAGGAGGAGGGAGGGTGGCAGGGAGGCATGGGAGGAAGGGAGGGGTCACGGGGAGCTGTACCGCATCAGACATCACTTTACAGCGCCAAACACTGACAAGAATTGGACGGACAGCGTAATCTCCCACTCTCCTGAAGGAAGGGTGGGGGCGAGAGTGGTTATGTAATTCCTCACTTGGATTGTGAATTGTCCAAACGTAAGGCGCAGATTGCCAGTTGCCAGTCCAAGACGAAATAAGCCAAACGAAAAGCTTAGATGTGCTTTCAACTGAATGTCCAAGAAAGAAAAAGGATAATAGCAATACTTTCTCACTGAGGTTTCCAAGATGAAATAGATTCTTTTTTTTTTCCTCAAGATGAAAAGCGTTGTTTTGCAACATGGATACCTAAGAATGGTGGAAATCCCAGATTTAAGCTTACTTATAACTCAGATAGTCTCTAACAAACGTCAAATGAAGACAAGAACGACAAAAGCTCAGAAATACAGATAGGCCTTTCTTCAGCGGTGAGATGCAGTTCAGTTGGCTGAACGGCAAGGCTCGAAGGTCCATTTGGTCGCTCCGCCAAACACTTCGATGTTGCTCTCTGTCCAGGAGAACACATCGCCAGTCGATGCTTTGCTATTGCAGGTTGCCAAGTTATAGATCTCGGTGATAGAAAGTTTCTTATTCCAGATATTTAAGTTTGCCAGCTCACCAACAAAGGCTTGTGTGGCATCAAAGCCTCCTCCCAGCGTGTCCTGTGAAACAAAGGGATGTTAAGCATTTCACTTGGGGGTTTTCACAGGACAGTTGCAAAGTTATCCAGACTAGTTAAGGTTTATAAGATGAAAAAACTCGGGGCTTTAATTTGTACAAGAAACACACTCTTGTTTAAAGTGGGATCCTCTTTATGGAGGACAAAAAGTGCCAGGATCCAAAAAGAAAGAGAGAAAATTGATCAAATGTAATCTTGAAAATAAATAAATTTATGCCTTTAATTTGTTATAACTAATGATAGTTTCAGTTTATTTGTTAGTTTGTTTCAGTTTACTTCAGACACTTATGTTAAATTATGCAAATAACGGGCTGAGGGCTTGGCAAGTTTTGCCATATAGTTGATCACTGGCAGGCTCACACACACGAGAAAACTACACTAACATTAATGAATAAAATGGGGGGAAATAAAGTTGAAAAAGGAATTAATTCAAGCTAAAGACAAAATTTAAATAGAAATATCTTTTGTCCCGTTTTAGGAATTAAATTATGCCTCCTTTTCTACAAATTCTTGCCATTTTTTATCTTCCATACTCCTGAAAATACTTGATCCAGGTAGAAAGCCAAAACTGCAGCTGGATTTCATTTAAGAATATGATTGCAGTATGGAGGATACATCTTGCTTAGTTTTCTCTGTAAAATAGATCTCAAATTATGCTTCTCTATCAAAATTCATGCCTTGCACACACACTGGAAAGCATTAATTGACCACCTCTGCAGTGCCCCCATGGTCTCATTTCATAAATATTGCCACTTTTAATCTTTGTTCAAATTTAATCACATAATTGGTTGAGAATTATTTCCAAACAGGTGTAGGATTAAATGTCTAAAAATTAATATCCACCTGCTCTTGTCCCAGGACCAGCACACCCTCTGGTTTGATGGGGTGGTATGGTGCCAGATTTTCCCCGCTGCCCCGCTTCACTCCGTCCTGGAAGGCCTCCCACATCCCGTCACGGGTGGTCCACGTGATGCAGAGGTGATGCCATTTTCCATCATTGATGAGGAACGGCAGTTTTGCAACCTGGAGCAAAGACATTTCGTAAGTTCCATTGTTCAATATGTCTTCCACACTTTGGTAGGACAGACTCGGCACATCGTGATGCCTTCCTGCTGAATCATTTCCCCCCATATCACATATCTCCTCGTCTTCTATAAAAAGGTTGCTTCTGTTTCAAACAGCACCTATTTTAACTCAGCCTCCTGTTGTGTTACAGAGAAGCTGTCAGGTTACCCTGACTCATCCAAGCAGAAAGTATTGCAGCTTTCCCCAACTGTAAATTACTATTTTGATGTGTTACATACACTTCCTGCAAAGGTGAGAAGCGTGTGAATTCACTTTGCTTCCAGGATAATAGCTTTTTCATTACCTTGTCATTGATGAGAATCTCCATGGGGTTGTTCCCCCACTCAATCAGCACCAGTTCATTGGCCTGTCCTGGAACTGCATAGGAGAAGGGGGTGCCCACCCCAGGCGAAGCATTGGACTTGATCCACAGACACACGGTGAAGGAGTACATCTCAGGAAGGCTCTTCTTTGCTTTGGCGTACATATAGTTGGTTCTCAGGGGGAAAGTGATCTGGAACTTATCTGTTGGCCGGGTGTCTTTGCCTGTTGATGAGATTACTGTTAGTTAAAGCACTAGTAGTGAGCATTTTATTCATATGTCTAGAGATAAATTACAGGAAAGCTGAACATCCATACGCCTACATACATTTTGTAAAACTATGGTACATGACAGAGTCTTTAAAAAGCAAAAGAAGCTGAGGGCTGACTAGTTTCATACAATCTTTTCCATCATGGTTCTTTGCACCATTGCGATCCTGTGATATTTTGTGTAAGATGGCTCTGTCTCCTCCCTCTCATTCGGTCTAACATACGCACGCGCGTTTGCACGTGTTGGAATTTGAACCGACCGTGGATATTTGCTCCAAAACGCGCCGGTGCGAGGCGCGCGACGCAAAGTTTCACTAATCCCCTGTGCAGAGGCTCATATACAAGCTGGATCTTCAGATTCTTTGAAAAACAAAAACTCAGCGAAGCAAAAGTGCAAACAGAGCCTGAGATATGCAAAGCAATGCAGCTCCCCTCACCACTCTCTCATATCTGTGCGCAATGTGATGGTTGCGGTAAAAAGGTTTCCCATTGCCGCTGCTACCTGTTTGGGGTGGGGAGTTTTCTAAGGGATGTTACGTCCTTGAGCGTGAAACACAATTAAATTACATCTAATCAGCTTTTAAATTGCCGTGGTTCGTTTTACTGCCGTGAAAGCAACACGGGGTCGAGCAGCTTTAAAGTCCCGTGCCCGTTGAAATCCAAACGCACCTTTCTCCAGGTCTGTTATCCGGTGGTGCAGAGAGGTGAGCGTGGACTCCACTCTGTTCCGCTGCTCGGTGTCATTCCTCGATCCGGATTTGGTCTCCTCTAACGTGTTGACCCGGGACAGAACTTGCTTCTCCATGTCATCTATCTTGTTTTGCAGCAGGTCTTTCAGGCTGTTTGCTTGCACGGTGTTATTCCCCCGGCTGTACTGCTGCATCGGACAGAATGAGACAGAGAGGGGGTTAAAGAAGTGACAGGGAAGACTTCTTTTTCTTTAAAGTCCCTGGAAGCTGTTTACTCTACTCACTGCCAAGCGCAGAGCTTTATCTTAAACGTGCTATTCGCTTGATTTTATAGGCTGCGGAACATTTCACTTTACACGGAGCTTCTCTCCAACAAACAGATAAATATGTTAGAAAACACATGTGGCCCCAAGTACAAGCTGCAGAAAGCCGCAGCAACACACAATCAACGAGTTAAAGAATATTATCCTTTAATCTAATTAACTATGGAGGCTATTTAATTAACTTTTGATCTTGTCGGCAAACCACTCGCTCTGCTTTCCTACCTCTAGATTCTCCAGTCTCTGTTTGAGCGTCTGTAAAGTCTGTCCCAGCTGGGCCAGAGTATCCGTAGTGCCCCGAGATACATCCCCCATCGTGTTCTTCGACCCTGGCCGCCGACCGCCAGGTCCTGCGGCCGCAGGGAGGCTCTGGCTCTCGCAGCGGCTCAACTTGGATGTTAGTTCCCTGATTGTCTCCTTTTGGTTCACAATGGTCTCCTTTTGCTGCAGCACCGTCTCCCGCAGTTGTATGATAGTGCTCTTCAGGTCTTCCGCCGGGCCGCTGTTTTGCATCGTAGCTGTGCACAAGTCCATATCCTTGGGCACTGACGTGCAAATAAACTGCGTCTGTCCGAAGTCTTGCCCGAGGCTCTCCACAACAACCAGGCAGGAAAGTAGAAAAAGTTTCCACGAGAATCCCTCCATGGTTCCAGTCATGCGTCAGGGATTGAGTGTGAGAGAGAGTGGTGTCTCCGAGATTTCAGCACCACGGAGCTGTCCACTGAAGCTGTGAGACTCGCGCTGCTGTGTGCGGCTTATATAGCGGACAAACCAGCGCAGATTCACTGCATCACTGAGGGGAGGCAGCGGGTTCTGCCAAGCCCACAGAGTCCAGCCCCTTATTTAAGGTCGTATTCACTCTGTCCTAACACTTACAGTGGCAGAGAGTGCGTGTACACCACAAAGTGAGATGAGATCGGGGAAGAAGAAGAGGAGGGGATGCAAAACGTTTCACGTGAAGTCTCAATCACTTGTCTTCAGTCTACTGCTAACAAACCTTCAGAATAACGTAACGTTAAATAAAGGGTAAAACCAGTCTCCAGTTTTCTGTCACAGTCGTGATTTGATCTTAAATTGAAATGATTGAAATAACAGAAACATTATTTTCACTATTTTAACCGTTTATTGAATAAAAAAAGGATGAAGTGATGATATGTAATGTGTAAATATCTCTAACTCTCGAAACCTTGTTCATTAACATTTATAGTTTCTAGGCACTAAGAATATACATAAACAGGTGACAGTATATTAATTAATAGTAGAAACATAACATAGGAAACAAAAAAGCACAACACTCAGTCAAATAACATTTCTGATCCGTTTTTAATGCCTTTATTTGAGGTAAAGGAATCTTTTTCTGGAAAGTTAAGCTATTCCACATTTTTGACCAAATATCATTTTTACTTTACTTAATAAGATTTTAGTAACAAATTTTGCATTTCATTTACTTATATAACGGAGGATGTTTTTATTGAACAATATATTATTTTCCTTTTAAAGCCTTAAGTTTAATTTTGAGTGATCTCATTTTATTTTAATTATCGCATTCTTTCTTAACTGTGACATCAAAGTTAAAGATTATTGAATTTTGTTAAACTGCAGAGAAATTAAAAGGCTGAGCTGAGCTGTACAAGGGACACGTCTCCACTCACTTCAGCACCCTGTGCACCATACAACTGTCTGCGCTTCACGCTCATCCAATGCGCGTTTGTGAATGCGAAATTATCAGTCCACCTTAAATGAAAACAGCTCCCCATCCTTCAGAAAAGTCTGTCCCACGGTTAGAGACCCCACCACAACCTCTCATTTTCTCACCCGCCCTCTCTCCCTCCCTCTCTCCCAGTCTGTCTTTTTGGCATGCACGCTGGCGTCGTAAAACCGACTCCACTGGTGTCCAGAAATGTACTCCACGGTGCAGGTTCTTCAGTGACTTTAAAGTATAACAGCCTTGTTCACATCCCCAAACAACACGCTGTCAGAGTGTATTTTCCTTTTTGTTCACTGTAACAAAGTGTGCACCGCAGCAGCCACTCGGAGCCTGACAGAGACGCGCTTTGGGCTCGTCTGATGTGATGGTAACAGTTATGTTAAATCTCACCACTACAAGAGCGGAGGCGCTAAAAGGAAAGTCAAATGTTTCCAAATAATTAATCAGACTGTTGCGTAACCACCCCCGCGGCTCTCACACGAAAAAATAAGATGCACAGCGAGCAACACTTAGCACAGATCATGTTGCGATACCAAAACGCGAGTGATACGTGCAGGGTGAGGATGAGGGTTTAAAGAAACAATCACGTGCATCCGGGACTTTCCACTTTGGCATTAGAAAATTAAATGATATTTATGCAACACAAGCAGGTTTGTTCTCATGTATGAAACGAATTTGTTTCTTCACACCAAGTGTGGAGGGCTGAACTGAAGTAATGAATACATACAAAGATAGAGTACTGTGCACAAATCTGGAGCCACTCCCCCTGTCTTTACATTTTGTTTCCAAAGAGCCAGACTTACCTATAACTTTTAAAGTGGTCTTGAGCAAGTTGTCACTCATTTTCACTCCAGTCCTTTTACTTAATCACTTTCAGAGGATAATTTTCTTTGTTAAACTACTTGATACTTAACTGACCTACGACTCATTCAAATAGGAAAAATCATAAAGAAAAGAAGCTCAAGCAAACACCTGACACAGGACCTAAGAGATGTATCTGGATCTGCAGATGGTCAAGCTATTGTTCATTAAAGCAACATAAGAAATGGCCTCAGTGGAAGGATGGCTGTCCAGAGGCCATTCTAAGGGACAGGTAAAAAGGAGAAAATGCTGAGGTATGGCCAATTACACACAAGATGGAACAGAAATCTGTGGGAACAAGTCTGATGGAGGAATGAATTGAAATGTAATTTTTTTTTTTTTTGGTTCAAAGCCTGTATTTGTATAGCGCTTTACTAGTCCCTAAGGACCCCAAAGCGCTTTACACATCCAGTCATTCACCCATTCACACACTGGTGATGGCAAGCCACCCTGGGGCACACTGACAGAGGCGAGGCTGCCGGACACTGGCGCCACCAGGTCCTCTGACCACCACCAGTAGGCAACGGGTGAAGTGTCCTGTCCAAGGACACAACGACCAAGACTGTCCAAGCCGGGGCTCGAACTGGCAACCTTCCGATTACAAGGCGAACTCCCAACTCTTGAGCCACGATCAATATTTACAGAAGATTTTGGGAGAAAGGAACAACAGTGAGTGTCTAAGTTTCACGTGTTAAACATGGTGGAGGCCCTGTCTTAATTTGGGGCTGTATTTCAAACAGTAGTTTGGGGGTTTTGTCAAATTGGATGGAATTATAAACACAAAAAAGTACCATCAGACTTTGATCTGCCATGCAATACCGTCCGAAAAGCTTCATTTTCCAGCATGACAATGATCCCAAACACAATGCCAATGCAATAAAAGTATTTCTGGATGGGAAGAACCAGAATGGGAACACTTATCAGTCATGGATCGTCATGATTTCACGTGGATAGATAGATTGAATTCTGGCAGTTTGGTCGTTCAGAAAAAAAACTACTGAAACTAAGCACACTGAAAGAAGAAAAAGTTATGTGCATCGACCGAGGTTAGTATGTGTAAAGACACAGGAGGGCTCTCCTTAATTTGCATTTTAAGTGAAACTCTGGGTCTTGATGACATTTTTTATTAAATAAAAGGATCGTCTTAGAAGCTCACTATTTTGAAACTATCGTGTGAGTAAAAACAAGCCCAGTCTCGCACGTGAACGCCCCTCACTGCCTTTTCCCACATCTGGTTAGAACACCGGGTCACAGCCATCGACTAACTAAACAAGAGTCCAAACGCACAAGTCGCAGGTTTGCTTCCAACCCGCCTGCTCCGACACAAATATCCGCTCCGTCTCTGTCGCATCGGTGTAGTTGAGCTCTGCGTAAAACGCAGCCTTTTTAAGCAGCCTTTAATTTGAACTCTGCTGCATTTCAAGAGGTTTTTTCAGACTTTTATATGACGCCGCGGCAGCCGTCGGCTAAGGTGGGATGAAAATTGACCCAACAGTCCCCTTTAATTTGTTTAATTATCGATCCAACGCGTTGTAATCAGCAAGGTGCCAAGATGAAGGAGAGAAAGAGCAGATATAACAAATGGTTAATGGCAGGGTCTAATTGCTGAGTTGCAGGACAAGCAGAGTAACAAATTCTCCTTATCTCAGCACATGCACATTAAAGACCGAGCGCTTATTAGCGCTCAGAGTGAGAGCGGCTGCGGATCAACAAGTAATGCCTCATTCAGTGTTTTCAGCCACCAGCAGCGACGCAGTGCTTGTTTACCAAATGAGAGCAAATTGAGCAGCTTTAAAAGCTCTTGATGTGCAAGAGTTAATGTTAATGACGCTGCTTCTTCCCACTGTACTGAGAGGTTACACTAGAAGGGACGACTGCTTATCACATTTATCTGTTCAGTATTCATCTCCTGTCCCACGCATTAAACCATTCTGCAGCACCATATGTTCAGCTATGATTCCCCCCATCCTCACTGTGTGCCTGCCACTTACTCTGCTGCAACTCCCATAAAACTGATTTAACTAGCTGTCCAGTTAGTTTTTCATTGAGCTTACCAAAACCTACGAAACTGTAGCACGTGGAATTCGTTTTTTCTGTTACTTTATACTTCCTGAAAGTGAAGCATTTAGATGGAACTTGATATTTCACAGCTAGATTTACATCTTTTCTTCAGTTTTTGAAGAGGAGTTTTGACCCATTCTTCCTTGCAGCTTGCTCTGAGCACAAGGTCAGATGTGGCAGTGCATGAGCCAGCAGACCAAGCTGGACTCCAGGGGCCGGTATGGAAAAGGGCTGAAATCCATAATGATCAGTCTCTCAGGTTCACTGAATAATGCAAAGCTTTATAATAGAACCCACTCTCTAATGGTAGAGATAAATAAGGACCATTTTGCACACTGGCAGGCAAAACGCCTGCTTATTTATCCAGCATCTGCAATAGCAAAACAGAGAGTAGGGAGGGTGGCATGAGGGTGGGTGTGGTAGTGCAGCACAAGCAAAACAAGAAGGCAAGGGGGGTTCATGTTGGTGCAATCTGAGTGTGTTGGGTATGATTTGTCTGTCACCTCTGTGCCACATCTGAGCACTGTTTGTACTGCTTCTCTTTGTTCAAAATTCTCATTTCACAGCTTGGAGGAAGTGTATTTTCAGTTGCAAATCTATTAACTTTCCTCCTTTGTTTGCTCTGTCCAGGTTCCCAAAGTAAACTTTGTTTTTCCCCTCCATGTGCACACTCCACTACATCCCTTCTGACTGTGGGGAATTCATATGTGCTGCCAGCTAACTGAAGCCTCAGTGCTGAAACTCCAGTGTCTCTGCCACTGCTACACTGATGTCTCCATTTCATCACATCTCACCATCCCACCAGGTAGGGGCTCTCTGATGGGATGCCTGCACTGTGGAGTAGTCTGCTGTTATGCATGTACTCCCACCAGGACAGCTGGGAAGAGTGGAGGACAAGAGTGGAGCAGAAAAACGCCAAAGAGTCTGTCTCTGCTAACAGAGGTAGTTTTATTTTATGCAGACACACACACACTGACAAACTAAACATTATAAACCATGCAAATTATAAATTCTTCCGCATGCCTGTATGCAGATGAAATACAGGACTAAATAATTTGGCTTTGACCTTCAGCTCTATGATCTACTTCTTATAACATTGTTTTATTGACGTTCGCACACACCGGAG